TCATATCATTCCGTTTATCTGTATACATACACACACACCAATATCCTTTGGTCATTGTAAAGCAAAATGCTTTTTAGACCAATATAACCTTGATTTACCTTGATTTACCTAGTGCTGTTTTTTTACGTGGATAGCTGGTAAAATTAAACGGAATTTCGACATCTCAGTATTTGTAACTCTTTGTACTTTTGCGTTCACTGCACAAAATACCCAAACCTTTATTCATGCTACCAGTGGAAGGGAGAAGGCCTTCGCTGCGGAGTTGTTTACTAGTGAAACACTAACTTGAACAGTTACAGACTATTGGACAGTGGAGTAAAACTCTCATATGCATCTTGTTTATAAAAACTGAATATCCATCTTCTCTTTGAAAGCGTCTTCCTGAACTTTCCTGGATATTCACTGACCAATACTCAAATGCAAACAACTGCTACAAAACGACCCCACAGATTCCGTAATAGATCTCACTTTTCAAGAGACGCGAAGCAGATCTACGAGAAACATACTACTAGCATGCCTCATCAGTAGTATCCACCGTTACACCAGTTGTTGGGCAACCATTTCGCTTCTCACTCAATCGGTGTGAACATCGGTTGTTAAAAAACGTAGAAGGCTTGATCTGAATGTCTGTGTACAAGCAATTGTGCCAGGTAACATTCCCCTACACAGTTTAATAGGTAATTAGGTAATAGGTTAGATCTAATTTTATTCTTCAAACTAGTGAAACATACAGAATCTCCGGAACTGCTAGGTTTGTTTTTCATAGGTCCACGTGACAGATTTTGAGATCCAAAGGACAGGTTACCTACGTCGTGCCTGGTGACAGTGGTAGAAACTCTGGACACATATATTCTTATGCACAGATGTATAATATTTTTAATTTGATTGTATTAATTACTTCGGCCGATTTGGTGGAATTATTTTACCTTCTATATGTGTATGTGGCCCTTCACTTTATAGGGTGAGGAAAGATTCAGCAACCTTATCTACCAGAGACTAGGTGGTTAAGTTCATTTAATGACCGACAAGTAGAACAGCTAAGCACAAAATAATACACGACAAATATTCTCACCAACTTCACAAGTGATTTTGAACCAGACTGAAGTTATTACTCTTTACGTTAACCTCCTTATCTGATTACTCTCATGAAGTACAATATAACAGGCAAAACGCTCGATGGTTGTTCCAATCGAACATTCCATTATACTGGACACAGTTCATCTAGGAGTAAGCCAAATCGATGTTAAGGTCAGTTCTGAGTGGCTTTGTGTAACTGGCGGCTTTCGATTACCACATTGACCTTTCCGCTTAACTTTTAGACGGAGGCCGTACGATCAGGAGCTCTCTGTACTTCTGGTGTACCGGCGATACTACTGATGGGGGCACGCGGGTAGTATGTTTTCTCGTAAATCCGCTCTGCGTCTCTTGAAAATTGTGATCAATTACGGAGTTTGTGGAGTCGCTCCGTAGCATTTGCTTGGAACTGAGTACCAGTCAATGAATATCCAAGAAAGTTCAGGAAGACGCATTCAAGAAGAAGATGGATATTCAGTTTTGTAAAGAAAATGCATATGAGAATTTCGCTCCCCTGTCCAACAGTCTGTAACTGTTCAGTTGGCACATTCTAATGAACAACTCTGCAGCGAGGGCCTTCCTTTCATTGGTAGTGTGGAGAAACGTAAGAAGTTCTTTGTATGCATTCATTCCAAATAGTTTTCACCAGTGAAAGGAAAAACGCCTTTCGGTGCAAAGCTGCTCATTTGCGAACGCGAACTAACCTCTTACAAGCTACTAGACAGGTAACTAGCTATCTCATCTGCGCAGAGTTTTTAAAAAGTGAATATTCTCAAGCGTCCTCATGAACATACCAACTGAATCTTGTGTATTTTACGTTACTGTACCCAGTCATGAGAGCTTACTTTCAATCACTGTGCTGTTAATATCCAATTGACGGTCCTGAAAAGCAAACCGAGATGATGAGATTTGTAATCCCGAGATTGACAGTGGAATTATGAGTTATATCTACTATATAATTATCTGTCGTATTATTATCATATTATTTGCTATAATGTAAACTCATTGATGGGTGACAACTGAATCAATGGAATACTTGCACTTACTGTAATGCTCAGACATGGTGAATATTTGTGAGAGAACCACTGTGGAAACAGTCCTTTACACCCCTATGATAAAAAGTGAATATCAACTTATTTACAAGGTTTTTGAGCCTACTCCGAGGTACTACAAGTTTAAGTGTTTTTTGTTGTTGATGTACCCTACTTTTTGTAGAAATTTTAGTAGCCCACGTGCATCGATTGAGTATAGGTCAGTGGGCTGTTGACCTGTTCGCTGAGCTTTGAAATTTGCTTGCAAAAGTGTTGTCCCCAATCGTTGGTTGGGTACTTTTGTTCATCTGCTTACAGCTACATTCATAGGCAGTCACATCAGGAGACATCAAGCACAGTCTTAGAAGCCATGTAGAAACAATCAGGTTAGAAGGAAGTACCTATTCAATCACGAACTGGTGGTGACGACACCTTTGCAAGCTAATCGCCAGACGCTGAAAATAGATCAATAATGGCTTGATATACAACCAGTGTATCCTGCACTGGTCGCAATTTAGATGCATATACCGAAAACAAGCTTTGAAAACTGATGCGTTTTTCTCTAAAATCTGTCAGATGAAACAGGAGATGTACCGATATACAACGCTTCTGCAGGATATACGATCATATTCAGTATGCCGTATGACAATGCCGAGACCATGTCCGTACATATTGGGGATATGGAAGGCGGAAGTGAATGCGATGTGACTGTGGGTTGTGACCAGAGCACGTGCTCGGTAAGTGTTCCGAGTGAGAGCGTACAACGCTTCACTGTTTTTTCATTCATGTTTTTTGAAGTTTCGCACATCTAAAATGGACTTTTTGCGGACCGCTTTGACGTCTTCTGGTATCTGAGAGGTCAGCGCGAAATTTGAGACCAGGCCACGTGTGCCATCAAACGTCTCTGGATGTTTATGAGTTACAGGAGATCAACAAATCTTTCACCGTCAAACTCGTAATTACCTGCCATAGAGGAATATGTTTGTTGCTCAGTTAGTGCATACATCCCCAGCTGTCTGTCCCGGGGGAAGTTAACTTGAGTGCTTCCGTTGCTTTACTTTTACTCGTTCACAGACTGGTCATTTATTGTTTCTCGCTTACTTGATTTCTGTGGACGTAAGATGGTATCACTTTGCCTCTACCAAATTTTTAGCTTTGCGTTTGAGCTTGTTCGTATTCGTATATTTCTTCAGGTCACTGTGCAACAGAATAGCGCAAGGCGACAAATCAAAGCCAATCATATCCCCCAAAAGGGACTATATAGCACATTTAGTCCTTTCGATTCACCAGAAGATCGGGCTCATCAGGTAGGCGCAGTCTCCGAGTTTCTATCAACCTTATGTTCTACTTGAACCCAAATCGGACTGTTTTCGAGAAATCAATTCGGTCATGGGCTGTCGAAAAGTTTTCAGCAACCTTGTGAGTAGTTTTCTTTATGAAAACATCTCTTGCTCCATTTAGAACATCACCTTAGTTAGCAAGTAATTACCTACTTTTGCGAAATACACTTATTCGCATATCAGTTTGATTTTTAGAGGAGACTTACCTGGAACCATGTTGAGTCTCTCGGTTATGACGTTTTTATATGCTGTACTAGGCCGCCTCATTTTTAAGTTGGCATGATATTCGAGATATCACCATACATTTAACAGAGTAGTGCATTACGTCTATACAATTTTCTACCTTGTTCTGGTATAGTTCCGTTTCGGGTTTGGGTCGGATGCAAGCGATTCCAAACATGGTTCCTTACCTTCTTCCTTTTCTCCAAAAGTGGAACCGGAAAAATATGCACTTCAGGTTCACTCCGTGCACATCTTGCACAGTGGTCATTTTGCTCGATCACCATGTGCAACGTAATCCATTTGCACGTACCAGGTCTAACAGATTAACCAGCGAGCCTCTGGCAACGACCACTATGAAGTGGTATATTAGTGAGCATTCGTATCCTGAGGAGAAGCAGAGAACTCCATATAGGAGATGTATGCAAGTTAGTGAATGGATGAGCGTGGAGGACGACTCGAGAGTTCGAATCTCGGGAATAAGCAATACCCAGGATAACAAATGGTCAATTGAAACATTCATGGTTTACTTGCCTACTGCAGCAGCCGGTGCCTTCCTGGGTATAGTTGTGTTCCAGGGTCACCACCGGCAGAACACTTGCGTTTCAGTAGTAGAATTAGACATGACGATTTCTTTAGTGACAAATAACTAAATCTGTAATATCTCATAATATTTCAGACGATGAGTATAGGTTTCTAGTGGAATACACTCATTTGCGAACAAATTCGGTCTTGTGAAAGACCTACCCGGAACCCAGCTGAATCTCTCGTTTATGATGTATCAGGTTCCATATCTAGCACCTGTCTGGAAGAATGCCGACGAAAGTAGAAGTCCATCCGAAAACTGCATTGCTCGGAAAAAAGGCCTCACGAAGAAGCCCAGCTGTCTGTCCCGGGGGAAGTTAACTTGAGTGCTTCCGTTGCTTTACTTTTACTCCACAGACTGGTCATTTATTGTTTCTCGCTTACTTGATTTCTGTGGACGTAAGATGGTATCACTTTGCCTCTACCAAATTTTTAGCTTTGCATTTGAGCTTGTTCGTATTCGTATATTTCTTCAGGTCACTGTGCAACAGAATAGCGCAAGGCGACAAATCAAAGCCAATCATATGCCCCAAAAGGGACTATACAGCACATTTCGTCCTTTCGATTCACCAGAAGATCGTTTAATCGTCGTTCTGGTTGTCGAACCTACGGATACCAGGTGGCAGCAAGCCTTCCAACAGGTGACGATGTATAGAAATGGCCTACGAGTTGCCGAGGGCGCTATAGCTGTATTCGAACCATCAAAGTTTATCGTTTGCTCCGGGTTAATAACGACCGATTTGACCCCAGGCTCCTGGGTGAAAGTGAGTGCCGATCTTATTGGCCAATGTTTTCAATCTGTTTGAGTTTGAGCATTTCACAACCTATCAAATCCCGTTTGAATTTGTGGGATCATCGGGAATCCGTGAGTTGAGGGTTCACCCGCTACTAGCCTTCGTAGTGTTTGACCGGATGACAATTCGAGTGCAACGATCAGAAGATTATGGAAAGTTTGGATTTTGAGCTTACTAACACATCACCCCCCCTCCGGATGAATTTCAGCTTTGTAGCCATTATTTGCCCATTACTCATAATATATACGTTCGGTTTCCGAACAAATAAAGAGACAACCAGAGTGCTTGCTCCACATTACCACTAGATATTGAACTGGCCCGAAACCGAGTTGGCCGGACCCTCGCAGGCACGCGCAAAGAGGGCTTATGAACATTTGCTACGTCCATGCAGAGAGTCATTCACTGGCGTACCCTACAGTGCTTCCGGACAAATACGACGGCTCACATTGCATCCGAACAATGAAAAGTAAGACAATTTTCTTTTCACCTAAACTGATACGTGAATAATTCACATTGTGTTTCAGAGCTAGTAGTTGATCACCGACGGGGATAGGTCTTAATCGTTCCTATCTAATTGCAGAAGATAGGGTAATACCTCAGATTCGGTACTTAGTTTTTGTGTGGCATGGTGTTAAACAAGTGACATATGGACCCAGTGTACCTCACTGTAACCACTGTACATAGGCTCACTTTATCACTCGAACCAATTTATAACTGCATAAGCGCGGTGGTGTGAGATGTATCAGTGGTTAGAGCACGAATTTACTGACAAGTGGTCCGTGGGTCGTACCCGACCGATGTCTCTGGAATTCCAAGTCTAGGTAGGGCTACCTGGCAGTATCCCAGTCCTTGTGCTCCCTTCGGGTGACCTGGCAGCTAGGCACCGGAAAGATGCTACAGCTGAACGACGGTATCACTGAATGTTATCCATTTAAATAAATTGAAAGAGGACCGATAGAACAGCGCACAATCATCTGTCTACAGTTACCTTCCAAACTAAGCTCCCAAAGAGGGCCCTCACAAGCCAAAACAAGTTCACACAGGTCAAGGGAGAATTGAGTTGAAAATGAAGAAATTTGAGCTACCACTACCAGACTCCTAATAGAGGACACTCTATGTATCCGCAAAGGGCCAGATTCCCCCTCAACAGAGACCACGATGGGAAATAGACACTTGGGATTCCAGACATTAGTTGATAATAAGAAAAGCGTTTGGAATTTTCAGTGGAGATTTTTCGTGGTAAGTAAAACGAATTTATGGTCAATGGTCAATGATGTTGGAATTCATCAGCAAGGAGTTTCAAACCTGCGATCTCCTGGCTACTGCTTTATTCACTCGACCATTCGGTCATCGGTAGCAGTGTCTGTAACTGGTATTGGGACAGCCATTGTAGACACACAACTAATGCCGACACGAACAAGACTAGTTTCAACGCGATGGAGCATTCCAAACATGATATTCGGGTAACTAGCCCTTGAATGTAACAGTTATCTCCCCTTCAAAGAAAGGCTACTGGTCTGGTAAGAACGTAGAACAGTAGCGTTCATTTACTAGTAACCAGAATGACCTAGGTCATTTAATGGTCAATGGGATTTGAAAATTAGAAAAAATGGTGGGCTGATATCTTCTTCCTGTCATACCGAACTACACCGATGGAATCCCGCATAAGCACTTGACTGAACGCGCTATACGCGGCATAGGCTTTGGGGAGTAAGACAGGGTGGTGAACGATGGAAGAGATCGTTTTTTAATCCAACAAAATGTCCATAGTTGGCAATCTTTTGGTGTGAACTGATCAGAATGATTGTTCGTGAACAGAGAGATGGCTGTTCCAAAGGAGCCATGTGGGCTCAACTGATTCAAAGCCTTGATTCTGTGCTTTATGTGTTAGCCATACACGCTTCGACAATACTGTGATGTGAACGTCGATCCTCCTTGAAGAATGTTAGCACAACAAAACAGGCTTCAGTCTACGGGGAAGCGCGTTGCTAAAAATCGGTAATAGACCCTACGGATAAATCACAGGCTCGCCGATATTCCTCGCCTTAAATTCCTCGTGACGGGTGAACTAGAACGATTTTTGAGTGCCCCTGAATTGACAGGAATAGAGACTGCCGGACTCGTTTCAAATGGTGTTAAATTTTAAAAGTGCTTAACTTTTCGCAAGAAACCTTATGAGTTGATATTCATGTTCACTAACTAATCGCTTTTTGCGGAATTAGTTTGCATTTCCGATCTCAATTGGTTAAACGGTTTGCACACTACCTGAGACCGAGTGTTTTGCCTCAAGTTTCCCGACTTGGTGACAATGACTTTCCCTGTGTTAGTTCTCTGGTCAAAAGAAGCACTTCATGATGAAAGCGTCTGACTCACGCCTCACCTGCTCGGTGACATAGCTGGCCGTGACTGAGTGTAAGCTTGACCTCGCAATATACACCACGTCTTCTGATCATCCGTCACCTCTTTGTTTAGGAGAGATGTGGATCATCGACCCTCAGAGGGCCATTGAAACACAATCAGTTCTGAAGCCTCCAATTATTTGGTTAGGCGAAGTTTTTAAGACCGCTACATATAGATCTTGTAGAATAAAACCCCTATTCATTCGACAACTTTTTGCTTTCACCAATGAAGTAACAATTCTCACAACATGACGTCATTCGAAACGCTTTTTTCGAGGGAAAATGTCAATACCGTCAGCAATAGGTTGAAGTTTTTGTGATCCAAAGTCAGTAAGAATGCCTGTTTCTACTGAAATTTGGTTGTATTTAGAGTAAATACGTTGTAGTTGGGTGGCAGTGGACTGGAAAGCCATTTTTTCTCACTGAATGAGCAAGTCCACAAAAATGGACTTTTAATAAGACTCTCATGCACCCGGATGTTAGGACAGAATAGACTTACTTGTCTTTATGGATGAAGAGAACTGCTGAAGGATTAAACTTCACGTTTGTCACCATATCCGGGGCTTGCATTTTCTCATTTACATGAATGTATTAGATATGGCTTTTTCAAACCCGGTATTAACTCATCGGGGGCGCAAAAGGTACAGTAACGTTTCGTTAACTTTCGTTTAGCTGTAGCATCCTTTCGGGGCCTAACTGCCATGCCACCGGAAGGCAACACGATAACTGGGATACTGCCAGATTGCCCAAGCCTAGACAGGGGATGCCGAGAAGTAGAGGTCGGGTTCGAACCACGTACCTTCGAACCACGTCCTTCCGGTCAGTAAATTCACACTCTAACCTACCAGAGTACCGTAACAACAGATTAGGAAGTAACGGATTCCAAAACCAAGCCGATATTATGAATATGTACGCAAAGGCTCTCTCAGATGCAGGACGCTATGAGATGATCTCAGAATTTAGTTGCGCTTTTGTTCCAGTCCTAAAAAAATTGGAACTTCTGACACGTTTGGAGGGGTTAAAAAACTTTCAACGCTGGCGCAGTACGACAGGGTGAATATTCAACCAAAAGTTTCTGATGTCCAAAACCCGTTTGTTCTGAACTAGGTTCGCTGTCATGCGGACTTCACATTAACCCTAACTTTTTAATAATGATGAAAAAAGTACTCGTAGATGCGCAAGTTGCTCAGAAATGGGTCTGTTCGACATATGCAATTCGAGTAAAGTAGTGATAGTAAACGGTATCTGGTTGATCGAATCCATAGTCTTTTTGCACACATGGTGCATATTTTCGGCCCTCCAAATCTTACTCTGTCGCTTGAATTCTTTTTAATTCGTCAGTTACTTTCTGGTGTTACCGATCAAGTTTCCATTTACCTCTTGCCAGTAGAGATACAGTGAAAAAATGGTGCTGTGGTACTTTTCTTTTGCGAAACAAATGTTTCAATCACAAAAGCGCTAATCCTCTTTTGTCCCACTCAGACACATCCACTTTGCTCTGAGTGGAGCGTTGTGCAGTTCACCTTGTATGCCAAGTGGGGAAGGTGGCGAACTGATAAATTTTGAATGCATAACAAGTGAGTTTCCATGGCCTTTCTGCCGGTGAATCATTCTTTGCATTGTGATTTTGAGGTGGACGAATGCATTTTAATGAAACGAGCATTAGCAAGAACGGCGTTGCTCGAACTTATATGTTGATTTACGTCAGCCGCGCGTTCCAGACCACACCGCGACCTTTGAGAAGCTATGTTGATCCCATTTCACACCTGCCTGAGGAACAACCACTGTAATGCAGATTAGAGCACAACAGGAGCCCCGTTTACCATTGTTTTCATTTTTCCGAAGATGGATAATCCTTTGATTCACGATGGCTTTTTATGGAATATCGACATGAAAATACCCATGAACAAGAAAACAGTCTGATTGATGTATACGGTTATGTTTCACCAAAGTAAAGTATACTCTCATGTGAACGTCAAAAATATTCGTATTAGGTTACTGCTGGGGTACCACACTGGATAGGAAAAATCACAACTACTGTGCATACATGTACCAATTTCCGCGGTCGCTTTCTAAGAACCTGCTGTCATCGTAGAAATGTTTATTTTAGACTTTCTGCTTTTGAAATGCAATCTACAAATTGATTTGCAAGTGAATGTGTTTCTCGAGTAGGCTGGACAGATCCGTGGAACAGCTTCAAACCTAGTCACTCCGATCTGGGGAAATCAATTTCTCAGAGCTTTTTTTCACTAAATATAATCATTCCGAAGCCGAGGAACAGAAACAAGACCTTGGTGAATTAGGTTGTTCCATGGAGCAATCGCATTCTACTGTCTTCTCATGGTAACAAACGGCAGAAAGCTAGCCAGTATACTAGGGACCGATGGTGTACCACATACAATAGTGATATGGGCAAAACAAAATCCGAAGTTTAAAAGGTGAATCGCTTAGAAATTCACCGCTTCAGTTTGCCTTTCATGCTTTTTATTTTGCGTTTGCTAAGAACAGTGACAACATTTGATTTAAAAAAAAAACAAGGCATTAACAACAAAGTCCGGTTGCTAGTGATCAGGGAAAGGAAATTTGAAGTGACTTCGTTGAGTCCATATTGTTTGAAGTTCATGAGACTGTAAAGATAGTGCTTTTCCTATATCAGTGCTCTGACTTGGCTCCAGTCACAGTTGATCCAACCCAAGAAAATCAGCAGCTCCAACTGCATCTCAGTTACCGTTCTCCCCATTTCCACCGAATTAAATCCTTCCCCATGGAGGCTGCCTCCCCACGTGACAGCCCACTGACAGTGCTGGATGTATGCACCAATTTATCAGCTCCCGCCTGCAATGCGCAGCTACCTACCCCCCAAATTATCGGTGATCGAAACTGCGGCAGCTACAACCACTGTACGACGAGTACGGTTATTACAGCTGACAATGATGATGATGATACCGGAGAAGGTGTGGAATATGGTGAAAATATTTGTAGACAAAACAGGTGGCCTGTATGAAGAACTGGTTTTTGAATTGATGACCAGAATAAAATACTTCATCGCCTTTGGTTTTTCATTGCGGTTACAACAAGAACAAAGGTGTATCCGTATCGGACGACCCAAGAAAGCATTTTCATCAGAGAGGGACATCCAACTGGAATCGATCGAGGCCTTTTTTCGAGAGAAGTAGGGTAGTAGAAAACGTAATAACTCAATCAATAAGTCCTACTATCCTGGTGCTTTCATCCCTCGAATGAGTGTCTTTTGTGTTTTCTGAGTTTTGTTCCTCGTTTCACATCGCGATCATGACTCCAGCAGGAGTTCTTACATTCAGTCTGATTTTTATGCCATGCAAATTTCGCTTAAAGAAGCATGATGACCACTTCAGGGCGTGTAACAATCCATGTGAAATGTTATCACTTTCAGCTTCGGAGAGCGAACCGTGCATGAGATATTACTTTGTGTCAATAAAACGAGAGAACTACGAAGTTGGTAAGTTTAACTTTCGTTCACAAAGCATTTGAATTTGCTTTATTACCCCATGCGTGTGTGCATTTATTCGCTGCATTAGGACGCGTCCCTCGTTCTCACGTAAGCCATTTGACACGTCTACGCCACATATTTACTTCGACCACATGGCAAGAATGTAATAATGTTGACTGTCACCCTGTTAGTTTTATTCAAACAACAGTAAACCAAGCAGTTTTTCATTAGCTTCCGCCGATTGCGCACGCGTAGTATATTAGTGCACAGCTGCTGATGATGTCCATAATACAAATCAGGTGTGTGTGCACTAATAGAGGTTTTTGGTGTGGTTGCGACACGTATAAAAACAAATACAATGCGAAAATAAGAGCGAGTAAAAAAAAGGAACATATCGGATGTGGGAGTCCCTTGGCGAAAGTCCGGTCGGTGGGAACGTGTTTCCTCCGCAGTTTGGCTGCTACACATATTCCATAGTTGTCCGTGGACTGGGAGTTCGGCGGACTCCCTGCTCCCTGCACGCGCGCGAGTCTGTGTGTGCTGTGTTCGGTTTCCCTATATGTAGGTTCGTTTGCGTGTACGTGGGTGTCAGCACATGAGTAGTTGCTACGCTCACTAGACGGTACAGACAATCGATTTCCGATGAATCACCTTAATGTGACGTGGTTTGTGAGTATGAAAAAAAGACAAGTCTCGTGATCCAGTGAGGGACTGGGANCAAGTGTGTGGGTGACGGGTCGCTAGAAGTACATTGACGAATGATCAGTCGTCCAGTCAGTTGACCAGTCCCTTTCCAAGTGACCTATTAAAATGAGACGGTAGGCTGTGTCCGGTGCTTGTTTTACGTCGACTAAAGCATGTTTATTACTGCTGGTCCATGACGTCTCGTTGGAATGAACACCTACGGGCCACGTTGTTGGTCATCTCCCCTTTATCTATGAAAGGACGCAACACGCATTAATTGGATATGTGCTAGGTTGAGAGATATCTTAGATTTGATTGGTGAGTGGGCAAATGGACTGATAATGATTAAAACCCGCCAAACTATTTTCACACACAACTTTCTTGTAGCTCTGGTTACGGTGTATATTCGTTTTCAGCTGAACCAACACAATGGTGTGGCTACCATTGTTGGACGCATGAAATCACTGTAAAGGTGCCTGCAGCTGTTTCTAAACCAGTGCTAGAAGACGGCATCGCACGTCGTTTCATACTTTGAGTATTAGAATGAACACAAAACGATATGTAAATCAGCACTGACAGGTCAATCTGGTCGGGACGTCTGTTCGTGTTTCACGACTGAGGCAGCTATATGGCCAAGAAAATTCTTCAGTCTAACTTTAGTACCGCCAGTCTGTAACCGATCAAAACATTAAGTGATTTTTCTTGACTTATGTTCAGCTTTGATACGTAGTGTTGTTTCGCTGGACCTGACGCTGTTTGGTGTAACGTCGAGATACACAAATGATTCCCGGTCGTCAGCAGTTGTCAGTGCTCTGATCATATTTAGGTGAGAACGACGGCAAGCTATCGCCATTGAGGGATCCATCACATAACTTGACTTAATACTGATGGTTATCGTCGTCTGTGAATCTCCCCGCTTCAGTGCTTTGCGCCGGAAAAAAGACACGCCGATGAGGAACGCAACAGCTATAGGACGAACAAGAGAATGAGTGCGAAAAGTACAACGGCCTCGCGCTATATATTGAGGGCAGCGTGTGACCTTGATTCAAGGCTGTCTGGTGGGGGTTCGGTGTAGTTTGAAGGTCCAATTAGGTTTTGGGCATTCAGGGACAATCTTCAGGGATCTGACCTTCCTGACACAAGATGTGCGCAGTTGTGTGAACTCCGTACTAACACCTAGTGTACCGGATGGAAAGTTCAGACCTTGAAGAGGCGCGAACCGTACTACGCTTAAGGTTCGTTCATTCGACACATCTTCACACTGTATCTGCGACAGAATGTGAAGGCAGTAAGTTGTTTCCCCCAAGCGACCAGCATGTCTATATTTATGGAAGCAGCGACGCTGCCTTCCCCCGAAGGAGGACGGGTTAGAAAACGTCGCCCCCAAAAACCGCACACTCCGATCGCCCAACGGTTGACCGTGACCGCCGGCGCATTATCCGATACGGTCGAAATA